CTGTGCTATGAGGTTCAGCCACACGGAGCAGTCATAAAACAGATTAGAAGCAATCACAGGTAAGCACATTCCTTCGACTGCTGTGCTCTCTCCCCACAAAAGCACCCATCGGTCCTGCTCGTCCCCTTTTTTCTCACTGATCCTGCACACCACTTTCTCACAACACCCAATGCGTTGCAACCCCATTACTTTCAGAATCCACTGGGCCTGCAACTCCTCTTTCTTGGTACCCAATAAGCCTGTGACCCCCACCTTCTTCTCAATACTACCCACCACACCTGCAGTCCCCCCTTGGTCAGCATCCACCATGCTTGCAGCTCTTCATTCACCATGCATGCACCTTCCTTTACCCTCCATCTCGGAGCACCCACCACGTATGCAGTCCCCAGTGTCTCAGCAACCTCAGAACCTGCAGCTACAATTCTCTCACCACCTGTTATGCCTGCAGCCCCCTTTCTCTAACTACCCACTAGGCCAGCAGCCCTCCTATCAGCAACCACCACGCTTACACCCTCCTTTTCTCCGCACCCACCATACTTGCAGCCCCTTGCCTGCCGAAAATGAACAAGTGCTTATATCCACCTGAAGTAGGCCACTCTCACCAGCAACTTATCATCCAACCTTGAGTAACACTGTCCCACCACTAGCAAACACAGCTTCAGGACTAGTGACTGTTGTGCAGCTCAACAGAGACCTCAAAAGATTAATTTATTGGTTTATTCTTTAGTGTGTACAGCATATATAATTGATTTTCTGTGTATATATTTGATGTGTTTTAAGCTCTGATCTGTTTACCTGTGAAATTATGGGTGTGCACTGGATGGCACATTTACTGTTTACATCAATTTGATATGCACATCATTTTGGGTGTGCTTGTTGTGAGGGTGAGTAAAGATGTTATACATATCACTAGCTGTTCTCTTTTTATATATCTAAATTGCAGTTGAATATAGGGATTGCATGTTCAAAATAATATTATAAAAGGTTCAATAGTTTAGGAGGGAGGTTTTGCTGTTGTATCTTGAAAGTAAAAGAAATAAATTTGGATGTTGGACTTGAAAATGGCTGCCGCATTGGAAGGGTTCTGTAACCAGG